AAAAAAAAAAAAAAAAAAAAAAAAAAAAAAAAAAAAGGACACAGAAAGATGGAAAGACATTACATGCACATGGACTGGAAGAATTAACATTGTGAAAATGACCATATTACCCAAAGCAATCTACAGACTCAATGCGTTACACTTCCCTCTGTTTAATGGAGATGAAAAAAGAAAAACTTACTCAAAGCACCATGAATGAGGCCTGGAGGGACTGCAGCCCATCAGGGGAGCAGCCCCAATTCAAAATTAGCTTTTCTTTTTATTGACAAGACAAGGATTTCATAAGAAAAATCAGTTGATTCAATCATCAAAGAAGGATGTAAAAACAAAGGCAGCATAAAACTAGTAACAGCAGTAAAATTAACAATGTGACATTCCAGAATGCGATTTGTAAAAGCTAAGTCAATCAGCAGCAAACAGCTTGCCCTTAGCAAACATATTCTTTTTTGACATCTTTCCCTACAGCAATTTCCTTAGCATATTTAAACAACAATCAAGCAGCTTCCTCAACATATCTTAACAACAATCAGTAGGTTAAATAGTCAATAGCCCCTCGAGCTGGAATTGGCCTAAAATAATCAAAGTACACAATCCCATCCCTAAATAGTGATTAGAATTGATTAGATGGGCTTTTGCCCAGTTATCTGTGGACTTTTTTGTCCCCTAACCAAGAGCTTTAGCAAAATTCATGCACTTACCTAAAAATCCTATTCTAAGATCAAAGGAGAACCAGGATTTCTAACACCTCAACATCATTGCAATCCCCATCAAAATATTAGTGACATTTTTCAGAGAAATAGAAAAATCTATCCTGATATTCATATGGAAGAAGAAAAGACCCTAAATAGTGAAAGCAATTTGGAGAAAAAAAAAAAAAAAGAATAAAGCCAGAAGCATTATACTACCTGACTTCAAATTATACTACAGAGCTACAGTAACCAAGGTAGTATGGTACTGGCATAAAACAGACACTCAGAGACCAATGGAACAGAATACAGAACACAGAAATCAATTCATTTACTTACAGACAATTGATCTTCAACAAAGTCACCAAGAATGTACATTGGGGTAAGGACAAGCTCTTCAATAAATGATGCTGGGAAAGCTGGATATCTATGTGTAGAAGAATGAAGTAAGACCTCTAACTCCAACCATATACCAAAATCAACTAAAACTGGATTAAAAAGTTAAAAATAAGACCTGAAACTATAAAACTTCTAGAAGAAAACATATGTGAAACACCTCAGGATGTAGGTCTGGGCAAAGACTTTCTGAATAAGACCTCAAAAGCACAGGCAACAAAAGAAAAAATACACTCATGGAAAATATGAAACTAAAAGACTTCTGCATAGCAAAGGAAATGATCATCAGAGTGAAAAGAAAACCTACAGAATGGGAGAAAGTGTTTGCAAACTATACATCAGACCAGAGACTGATATCCAGAAATTACAAGGAACTCAAACAACTTAACAATATTAAAACAAATAACCTGGTTAAAAAGTGGGCAAAGGATCTTAATAGTCATTTCTTAAAAGAAGACATACAAATAGCCAACAGATACATGAAGAAATGCTCCATATCACTAAGTATCAGGGAAATGCAAATCAAAACCACATTGAGATCTCATATCACCACAGGCAGACTGGCTATTATAAAAAAGACAGAGAATAACAAATGGTGGCAAGGATGTGGTAAAAGGGGAACTCTTCTGCACTGTTGGCAGACATTATGAAAAACAGTATGGAGGTTTCTCAAACAATTATAGATAGAACTGCCATACAATCCAGCAATTCTGCTACTGGGTATATACCCAAAGGAAAGGAAACCATCCTGTTGAAGGGATACTTGCAGTCCCATGTATCACAGCTCTATTCACAATAGCCAAGATATGGAACCAACCCAAATGTCCATCAGTGGACAACTGGAAAAAGAAAAAATGTGATATATATACAAAATTGAATACCACTCAGTCATAAAAAGAATATTATTCTGCCATTAGCAGCACCATGGATGAATTTGGGGAAAATTATGTTAAGTGAAATAAGCCAAGCACAGAAAGATGAATACCACATATCCTCTTTATAAGTGAGAACTAAAAAATAAAAAAGAAAGGAAGAATGAAAGAAAGAAGAATACATTGAACTTTCAAAAAGAGACAACAGATCTGTGGTTACTAGTGGTGGGAAAGGGGGAGAGGAAGAAGTCTTAGCAAGAAATTAATCAAGGGTCACAAAGAATGATTACATTTCACAATAATGAATATTGTTCACATTAATTATCCTGATTTGATAATCACATATTGTCCAAAGGCATTGATGTTCAACTCTGTTCCCCACAAATATGTATAATCAATTATGTTTTAATTAAAAAAGGATTTCTCAGAATCAAAAATTTTATATATATTTTCCATGGTTTTAAAAGTAGCAAAATGGGAAGGACATTTCCGATTATTTTAGTGGGTGTGATCCTCCATTTTCATTATTTTGATGTCTTCTTGTGGAGGTTAGCTGATGGAAGTTTTAACCCAAACTTAATTTTCTTATAGTTTCACATTCCACACAGTTTCCTTTTAAAAACAAAAATTGCAGGACAAAGTTGACCAGCCAAGGAAGACTTTATTCAAGACGATTGTTTGAGTTGACTCCATTGAAACGAAAGCCAGGAGGTTTTTCAACACTGAGGTGAGCTATTAGAAAAGTACTGGAGGATGTTAGGGGGCATGTTGATCAATGGCATGGATTGAGCACATTGTGTTAGTCCCGAGTTTGCAAGTGTTTGTCTCTGTGATTAGGCCATCTGTGTTTGCTAATTGGTGCTTATCAAATTTAGGCTCCTACCTCCCATAGGGACTGGGAAATAAGGGTGCTGCCTTCTATAATGATTACATGTCAAAGGGATGGCTCCCAGTTTTTTAAGAAAGACATTCTTGGGTTGCTGACAAAAGGCTTTGAAAAAGATTTACATCTCAAAGGGGCAGAGAAAAAATTTATAATTGCAAGTTTCCGGAAGAAACACTCTAAGAAAAGAGATGTCAAGGGCCTAGAATCAGGAAGATAACTGTCTAGAGTTTAGTCAGGTGGAGGGAATATGAAGGCCTCGGTCAACCTTGTATTTAAGTATTTCTCATTATTGGGACCTTTTGAGAGAGAAAAGCTTTTGGATCTTTTAATTCTCCTTCACATCTGTGGGAATAATAAAACACATACAGGAAACAAATGAGTTTCGAAATGATTTATTGAACAAAAGCTGCTAAAGTAAAAATGAACACAAAAAGTGAGAGGGTGAAAGAAGCAGAATTTCTAGGATGGTCTCATTTCTGAAGATTGATAACAGTAAATTCTTGAGGCGATCCTGGCAAAAGTTAGGGTGAGAAGTTTAATAATGAGGCATAGTAGGACCTAGAAAAAAGGTTGAGAAGATAAAATTAATTCATGCATTCCCATAAACATTACCTAGTTGTTTTTAAATTGCTATTTTCTATTTCTTATATGAAATTAATCCCGATTCTATATAGCCCCATCCCTAGGCTCCATCTCTTACTTTCCTGACAGTCCAGGAAAGTAAAACTATTTTTAGAGTAAAATACATCTAACTACATATATTTTATGTTTAGAGTAAAGCATGTGTATTTTGTTACATTGAAGGCCTCGTCTCTCATTATTAATAACGAGGATGCTTTCATCCACTTTAAAAAACAAAACCTCACATAATATTTGATAGAAACTATGTTCCAGCAATCTTTCACTGAAATACTCCTAGATCTTCTCCTTTTATCCCAGAGTTTTAGATTATTGTTCTATAATCTAGATGAGTTCTCCATTATATTGTATCATAATGCCTACACAATTTTCTAATTTCTGTTTTCCTCATGGATTTTCTTTATTAATAGTAACATTATGTCCTCATTTCCATCTGACTTAATTGAGGTTTATCTCCTGCTATGGTCCAGTCGAGATCAACTGCTTATGTGACTGTTGACTGTGGCTCACATATTCTTGTGTTTGAACCCGTATACATGCTGATTTCCCCTTCTGAAGCGCCTTCTGGGTGGGTGTTTTCCCACTCGTAAACCTCATCAGGCTCCCCCGCTACCCCTGGAGATCATGATAAAAAGTATAGTTTCTAAAGTGGGAGAGCTCAGTAATCTTTATTTTGAAAAAGAAGCCAAGTGACTGCGATTCAACTATTTACTAAACTATCTTCTGGGAACAGTATTCTAGAATTATAAACTTTCTGAGAGTGGGCTTGAGTATTAAGACATTTGGATTCTAGTTCTGGCTTTGCCACCATGTGTTCTGAATTTGAACACATCCCATACCACTGAATCCTTACATAGAAATTGGTAGAGTATCTGCTGTCTTTCATAAAATTGCAGAAATCAAAATTTAGCCAGACCAGCAGTAATTAGCTCTTATTTAAGGTATTTGGAGATATATAGAGCACTTTTGAATTTCTTCATCTAATTCTTTGCATCATTAATTTACCTGTTTACTGAGATGCTTGAGATGAGCCTTTGTACTGCTTTCACTATGTGGAAGTAGGGCTACTGCTGGTTATAGGAGTATTGGCTGTGTTTGTAGTAGCAGGTAGTGTGCTGCTAGTAGCAGCAGAGGTGGTTCCAGCTGAGGCTGTATTTGTGTTGACTGCAGTCATGGGACTGGTGGCTGTCACTGCGGCAGTGGTGATGGAGTTAGTTTCAGCTGTGGATGTTGTTGCTGCTGTTGTGATAGCTGATGCAGTCGGGGTTCCTTCAGGAGTTGGAATGGTAGTATCTGCTGCAGGTGTGGAAGCCACAGGGCGTTCTGTGGATCCTGCAGAAGAAGCTGTGGCAGCTGCAGCACTTGTGACCTCTGTTGTAAAGAGAGTAGTATCATTTGCTGAGTCAGTAGTGATATCATCAACGAAGGTAGTTGTTTCTGCTCCTATGGTCATAGAGTCCAATTCAGTGGTTAAAACATCAGATACAGCAGTAGAAATAGACTCTGATGGAGTTGTAGTGACAGCTGCCAGAGTGGTGTCTCCTACTGATTCACTGGTGGCCTCATCCCCTGGACTTGTAATTTCAGTAGTTGTAGAACCTGGTTCAACAGTGGAGGCAGGAGTAGCTGGGTTAGTGGTGGCAGCACCTGATACACTTGTACTGACAATAGTTGTGGCATCCGAGGCTGATGTGGTTGCAATACTTGTGGAGGCTGCAGCTGTTGTGGTGGTGGTTTCTATAGGAACTGTGCTTGTAGATGAAGCACCTGTTGCAGTAGTAGCCACATATGTGATGACTTCTCCTAAGGTTGTGGAGTCAGCTGAAGAGGCTGTGACATCAGCTGTAGTTGCGGAGGCTGCTGCAGTTGCAGTAGTGGCTCCTGTAGGTTTAGTGGTTGTAGCTGAAACAGCTGTTGTACTAGCAGCTGGAGATGTGGAGTCTAGTGCTGGGGATGTAGGGTTAGCTATGGGGGTTGTGGCATCAGCGGGTGCAGTTGTGGCATCTTTGGCCTGAGTGGTGGCAGCTCCAGTGGTTGTATTATTTGCTGGTTTAGTGGTAGCCTCCTCCCCTGGAGTTGTAGCTCCAGAATCCTCTGTGGTTGTTTCAGCAGGGGTGGTAGCACCTTGTTCAGTTGTCATGGCAGCACCTGCTACAGTTGTGCTGGCAGCAGTAGTTGTATCACCGGGGGCTGAAGTTGTAGCCATAACACTGGTGGTTGTACCAATGCCTGGGGTTGAAGAGGCTGCTGCTATTGTGATAATTGTTCCTACAGGTGTGGTTGAAGATACAGCAGTGGTGGTAGAAATGGTGGTTGTGAAATCTGTTTCTGAGATTGTGGAGTCAGTTGCACCAGTTGTGACCCCATCAAGTGGTGTTGTGGTGGCAGCTACAGTGGTTGTATCACCTGCTGACTCAGTGGTTTCCTCATCCATTTGGGTAGTAGCTTCAGTGGTTGTTTCATCTGCTGTTTGAGTGGTAACCTTATCCACTGGTGTGATGGCAGTACTTGATTCAGCTGTGGTGGCAGTGTCAGGCACACTGGTGGTTGTAGAACTTGGGGCAACTGTGGTTGTGACACGAAGTATACTTGTGCTTGTGGCACCAGGTACACTTGTGGTTGTGGCACCTGCTGCAGTTGTTGTGGCAGAACGGGAAGAGGGAGTGGTAGATGACAAGGTAGCACCACTGATTGTGGCATCCTTCCCTAGGGTTTTGGAAGGTGTTGCATTTGTGGCTCCAACAAGTGCAGAGGTTGTGGCTGTAGAAGTGGTGGCAGTGGTGGCAGCAGTGGCACGGGATGTAGTACCTGTGTTTGCTGAAGTTGTAGAGGCAGCTTCAGTGGTGTAATCAGTGCTTTCATTTGTTGTGTTTGTTTCATCTTCTAAGTCCTCTGTGGTAAAATCAGAGGCAATGGTGGAGGCAGAGACTAGGAGGGTAGTGGAGCCAGGCCGTGGGTTCGTGGAGTTTGCAGTGCTGGGAGCAGCAGACCCTTTGGGTGTGGGTTCCACTGAAGGTGCTGCTGAGGTCACAGATGCTGCGGCAGTTGCAGTGGAGGCAGGTCCTGTGGATGTAGCACCTATTGCTGAGTTAGTGGTTGGTGTCACAAGGGTTGTGGTGGTAGTTGTTGGGGATAGAGTTTCAGGTGTTCTGGTTACATCTGATCTCTTAGTGGTAGTGGCAGTTACACTAGTTGGGGCAACTGACACAGATGTTTTGCTCTCCAATATCGTACTACTGAGAGCAGCTAAATTTGTAGTCGCTCCAGGTACCGCAGTGATTGTACTGGTCGAGGTTTCAGTTAAGCCAGTTGGCTTAGTTGTCACACCTATTGTGCTTGTTTGAGGTGTTGGTTTATGTAAAGGTGGTTTATGAGATGAATGAGGTTGGTGATGATGGTGCTCATGCGCATGAAGATGTGGGGTACTTGGATATGGTCTCGGTGGACGTGGATATAACTGATGAGCCTTCAGTGGGTGTGTATGTGGTCAATTTGGTCGCGCACAAGGAAGTTTAGATTGACGGAATGGATGCTTAGCAAATGGGCATGAAGATTTCGACAGAAGTGGTTTTGTGACTTTCTTCAATGGTTTCCTTTTCCTTTGTGGATACTTCTTCTGTCCAGCTTGAATAGATTTAGATCCTTTTAGTTTAGATGATTTTAACTTTTTTGTGTCAAGTGTAGATTTTCTTTTCTTAGATTGTTTTACAATTTTGCCTGCTAAGGTAGGTGGTCTTTTTACCCCTTGAGGTGATTTAAGATGATTCACACCTTTCTTAGAAGGTTTAGACTGACTTTGTTTTGATTTACTTAGCCATTTATTTGTTGTTAGAGATGTGGGCTGTCTTGTCTTAGATAGTTTTATAGATTTAGTTTTTGTAAGGTGTGTTTTTGTAGTCATTATACCTGCTGTGGGCTGTTTCTGTTGTTTTTTGGCAGGTGTAGATTTCTTTTGGATTTTCTTCTTGGCTAGAGATCTTTTTGGTCCTGTTTGAGTGGATTTAGGCTGATTACTTTCGCTAGTTGTCCCAGATGTTTTTGGCTTTGCTAGTGATTGATTTTGTCGTTTATTGGTAGATATAGGGAACGATTTTTCAGGTTTCTTTATATTTTTCTTTTTAACCAGAGCTGTTTTTGTACCTGATTTAATTGGTATCACCTGATTCTGCTGTTTCTTTGCAGGTGTAGAACGAGATAATTTAGATTTTTTTAGGTTTTTCTTTTTGACCAGAGTGTTTTTGGAAACTGGAGGTTTACTTTCTTTTGCATGATTTGACTGCTTCCTGGCAGTTTTAGACAAGGAGCTCTTAGATTGATTTAGTCTTTTCTTAGAGGCTGGTTGTGTGTTTACTACTGATTTAAGTACTTTTGGCTGATTCACTTGTTTCTTGGGAGATGTGGTAAAGGTTTTTTGAGGTTTCTGTAATATTTTATTCTTGGTTCTAGATGTTTTCCTATTTGTTGCAACTACTCCTGCCTGAATCAGCTTTCTCTTGGCAGGTGTAGGTTTTGTATTTTTGGATTTAATTAGACTTTTCTTTTTGGCTTTGGAAGCTGCTCTTGTTGCTACTGCCTTAGTTGGCTCTTCTTTGACTGAAGTTAACTGTTTATTATTTTGTTTATTTAGAGTTTTCTTTTTGGCTAAAGTTTTTTGGGGAACTGCTGTTGCCTGAGTCAATGGTTTCTTGGCAGGTGAAGACAGAGTGTTTTTAGATTTAGTTGATCCTTTCTTTGGGGTTGAAAAATTTTTGGAAGAAGATTTTATTGCTGTGGCCTTAGATGACTGTTTTTTCGATGATGTAGAGGAAGCTGTTTTAGAAGTCTTCAGAGATCCCTTTTTAGGTAGAGATGGTTTTGAAGCTGCTCTAATTGTAGGTTGTTTTATCTGTTTCTTAGAAGATGTAGACTGGATTTTCTTGGTTTTTTTTTGACTTTTATTATTTGTAGCTGAAGATGGTTTCGATTCTGCTGCTGTTTGTTTTGATTGTTTCTTAGTAGTTGTCTGTTGTCTCTTTTCAGGCTGTTTCAGAGTTCTGCTTGTTCTCGGTGGAGTGTTTTGTCCTGTTAGACCAGATGTACGGGGAGTCAACCCTTTCTTGGGAGAGGTCAATGTCCTTTTCTTAGGACTTACTTGTAGATTTTGTCTTTGTGATGACTGAACAGATTTTTTCTTTTTACTTGATGTCCTAGAATTTGAGGATAATTGGATGGCTGCTTTGTTAGTCAGTACTGAAAGGGATGCAGCCCTAGCAGGTAGAGACTTTGATTTTTGAGTGTTGAAAGGTGAGGATGGAGCTCTTATGGGGGATTTATGAACAGATGGGGCAGAGGCATGAGAATGAGCTTGAGGTTTCCCAATGAGTTGGTTGGATGGAGATCTACTTCGTGATGTCCTGGCAGGGGAGCTTTGGGCTGGTTGACTGTTGATTCTCTTTTTTGTTGCCTGGCTCCGTGATTGCTGACTCTCACTGAACTGGAGGGTAAGAGAATAGAAGATATTACCAAATGAGACATCGAATCAAATATTGTTTTGTATTTTCATTTTAGTTACAGAAACTGGTCTGCTGTTCAGATTGGGAGGTGTTTTGGTTTTGAGCGTATTTCAATGTAGAATAAATTACAACATAAATTTAAAATTGAGCAAGATATTAGAATAGGAAGTCTCAAGCTTCACTCCCCATACCCTTGCCCACCCACAGAAGGTTAAACTAGCAACTATCCACAGATAAGACCATCTTTATAAAAACCCGAGTGCTTGGAAATAAGCCTGACACACACACATGATCCATAGAACTGAATTAAAATTGAAGGATGAAAGAAACAGTCTCACTGTAAACTCAGAGCCCCTCTACCTCCCTCAAGTCAGCATAATACCACACAGAGAGGATTTCCTTGGGCCTACAGTTTCTACAGGGAGAAAGGAAAACTGGACATGGTTATCCACCTTCCCTAGCATTCAGTGAGGCTTCCCTAGCACTCTGGTCTCGCCTTATAGGAACACTGGGTGTGACAGCATGGCTAGACCTCCTGGGGTTAGGTAGAAACAAAAAAAAGGAGGCAGAAATCATAGTGACCACCACATGCATCTTAATGATACCTCTGTGTTCCTCCCAGCTCTGGCACCTGATCAGAGATACCAGACAACTTCATAGCACACCCACAAAGCTGAACTGGTTGCTTTCAGAAGCACAGTGGGTAGTTCAACTGGCTTTAGTCTTTAAATGGCCAGTCTCATGCCCAGCCTCAGAGCTTACACCAAGGCCCTGCCCTGACAGGGAGATGTCCACCTTTGTACATTTCAGAGAAGCATAGGGGATAGGCTTGCTTGACCCACGAGGTCAAATAGTGGCTCCACTCAGCCAAAATGTCCACCCCAGAGACTCTAACTGGGCAGAAAGATGCCTGACTGCATGTAACTGAGAAGTATAGGACTGGACTTGCTTGACTAGGAGGTCAAACTGGCTTAACTCAGCCAAAAGCTAACCGCATGGCTTCATCAGGCAGGGAGATGCCAATTTCCACACACTTTAACAAAGTGTAGGGGCTAAACCTAATTGACCCAGGAAGTCAAACAGAGGCTCATCTCATCTACAAAGCTCACCTAAGGCCCCACTCAGACAGGAAGGCAAATATCAATTATGCATTTTTATGGAACATAGTAGCCTTTGGCCCAGCTCATCTCAAGCAGTGACTCTGCCTAACCTCAGAATCCAGCCTGCAACCCTGCCCAGCTGCAGATCCCAAATACTAGGATTAACCAGCCAAGAAATATATCTGGTGACTGGCCTGACCAGAGGCCATCACAATACCCAGCTCACTCCTCCACCTGACAGCAGAGCCCATCCTATAGTCTCACCAGAGAGCAGAGCCCATATAGCAGCCCCACCTAAAATTAGATCAAAGGCCGAGGCCCAGCCAACTAGGGAACCCACAACAAACTCTGCCTGACTGGGATTGCCACCAGATGACCTTTCTAGAAGTCCAGGCTGGATTAAGTAATGAAGATCTACTTCTTCCAAAGAAAACTTGTAAAAGCTGGAAGAGGTGCCTGTTTGCTCAAATGCACAGACAATAGTGTAAGTATATCGGATTATGAAGAATGAGGGAATTATGACATCTCTAAAAGAAACTAACACACCTCCAATGATGGCCCCTCAAGAAATGGAGGTCTATGAAATGACTGACAAAGAATTCAGAATAATCTTCTTAAAGAAGTTCAGTGAACTATAAGGATGTAGAGATAGAAAATTTAAATAAAATTTGGAAAACAATACATGAACAATGTGAGAACTTTGACAAACAGAAATAATTAATAAAAGCCAAGTAGAAATCCTAGAGATGAAGAATACAATGACTGAAGTAAAAATGTTATAGAAAGATTAAATAGCAGACTCAATCAAGCAGAAGAAAAAATCAGTAACCTTGAAGACAGAACATTTGAAATTATCTAGTCAGAGAAGCAATCAGATAAAGAATAAAAGATAATAAAGAAATCCTTTGGGAATTAAGGGACATGATAAAGAGACCAAACCTTCATATAGTAGTGGTTGTAGAAGGATAAGAAAGAGAAAAAGGCCATAAAGCATATTCAAAGGAATAATGGAAGCTGAAAACATCTCTAATTTGGGGAAGATGCCAACATTCAGTTGCAGAAAGCACAGAGGCCACCAATTAGATTCAACCCAAAGGGAAGTTTACCAAGACAAACAGTAATCAAACTACCAAAAATCAAACAATGCAAAGAAACAATCCTGAGAGCAGCAAGAGATAAAAATCACATCACCTACATAGGAGTTTCAAAATGACTATCAGCAGATTTCTCAGCAAAAAACCTTTGGCAGGAGAGAAGGGGAGGCCTTACTCAAAGTGCTGAAGGAAAAGAGCAGCCAATGAAGAATAATTTACTCAGATAAGCTGTCTTTCAGAACGGAGGGAGGAATAAAAACTTCCCCAGACAAACAAAAGCTGAGGGAGTTCATCACCAGTAGATCTGCCTTATAGGAATTGATAAAGGGAGTTCTTTAAGCTAAAACAAAACCCTGCTAATTAATAAAACACACAAAAACACAAAACTCAATGGTATAACTAATACATGTCATATTCAGAATACCCTTGGACTGTAATAGTGGTGTATAAAGCAATTTTTGCCCCAGTATGAGTATTAAAAGACAAAATAACAACTATAATAGCAACTAATAGATAAAATAAATTAAAAACAACTATAGGTACAATAAATTGTCAAATGATAACACATTATAAAATAATATAAATTTTGACATTAAAAATATAAAATGTGGGGAGTGAAGAGTAAAAGTGTAGAGTTGGTATTTACAATCAAAGTTAAGTTATCACTTTGAAATATACTGCTATACTTTAGGTCTATGATAACCACAAAACAAAAATCTTTAATTGAAGAAAAAAAAAAAACAGAAAGGATTCAAAGCATATTATTACAGAAAACTGTCAAACCACAATGGAAGACAGACAGCAACAGAGGAAGCAAGAAACAAAATATCTACAAAATATCCAGAAAACAATGAACAAAATGGCATTTGTAAGCCCTTATCTATCAATAATTACCTTAAATGTAAATAATTGAAATTCTCTAATAAAAAGACAAAGAGTGACTTAATGGATGAGAAAACATGACCCAATGTGCTGCCTATAAGAGACCTACCTCACTTTTGAGGACACGCATGGATTGTAAGTTAAAGGATGAAAAAGACAGGCAATACAAACGGAAACCAAGAAAGAGCAGGATTAGCTATAATTATATCAGACAAATAAGACTTTAAATAAAATACTATAAAAGGAGACAAGGACATTATGGAATAAAAAAGGATCAATTTATCAGGAGGATATAACAATTGTAAATATTTGTACACCCAACATCGGAGCACCTAAATATATAAAGCAAGTATTAAAGAATCTAAAGGGAGAGATAAATTGCAATACAATAATAGAAAGGAACTTCAATACCCCACTTTCAACATTGGACAGATCATTCATACATAAAATTAAGAAGAATCATTGGACTTGAACAACACTTTAGACTAAATTGACCTACCACACATATATAGAACATTCTATCCAACAGCAACAGAAACACATTTTTCTCAAGTGCACACAGAACATTTTCCTAAACAGATTATACAGTAGGCCATAAAAAAAGTCTTAGCAAATTTAACAAGATTAAAATTATATCAAGTATCTTTTCTGACCACTATTGTATGAAACCAGAAGTCAGGAGGAATTATGAAAAATTTATAAAATACATAAAAATTAAACAACATTCTGAACAACCAGTGGGTCAATGAAGAAATTAAAAGGGGAATTTAAAAAATATATTGAGACAAGTGAAAATGGAAACATAACATACCAGAACTTGAAGAATACAGCAAAAGCAGTTTTAAGAGGAAAGTTTTAAAGCTACAAATTCTTATATAAAGAAAAAGATCTCAAATAAACATTTAACATTACTTCTTAAAGAATGAGAAAAAGAACAAATTAAGCTCAAAGGTAGCAAACTGAAGGAAATAATAAAGATCAGAAGAGAAATAAATGAAATAGAGACCAGAAAAACAATACAAAAGATTAACTAAATTAATAGTTGTTTTTTTCGAAAAGATAAACAAAATGGACAAACCTTTAGCTAGACTAAGAAAGAAGAGAGATGACTCAAGTAAATAAAATCAGAAACGGAAGAGGAGACATTACAACTGATACCACAGAAATACAAAGGATCATAAAAGACCAATATAAATAATTGTGTGCCAACAAATTGGATAACCTAGAAGAAATGGTTAAATACCTAGACACATACAGCCTATCAAAATTGAATCATGAAGAAATAGAGAATCTGAACAGAGTAATGAGTAAGGAGATTGAATTAGTAATAAGTCTCTCAAAATGCATAAGGAACCCAAACAACTCAATAGCAAGAAAACAAATAACCCAGTTAAAAAATGGGCAAGAGACGTGAATAGACATTTCTCAAAAGAAGACATACGAATGGCCAATAGATACATAAAAAAATTCTTAACATTGCTAATCATTATGGAAAGGCAAATTAAAACCACAATAAAATATCATTTCACACCTGTCAGAATGGTTATTATTTAAAAAAAATGGTGAGATAAAAAGTGTTGTTGAGGATGTGGAGAAATGGAACCCTAGCACAAAGTGAGGGAATGTAAATTAGCTCAGTTGTGGAAAGCTGTATGAAGTGTCTTCAAAAAATAAAAATAGAATTACCATATGATCCAGAAATCTCACTTCTATTTACCCAAAAGATTTGAAATCAATTTCTTGAAGAGATGTCAGCACTCCCTAGTCACTGCTGCGCTATCCATAATAGTCAAGTTATGAAATCAACCTGTATCCACAAACAGATGAATGGATAACGAAAATATCATACACACACACACACACACACACACACACACACACACACACATATAATGGAATACTATTCAGCCTTAAAAAATTCTGTCATTTGCAACAGAATGGATGGAATTGGAGAACATTATGCTAAATGAAATACACTAGATGCAGAAAGATAAATAGTGCATGTTCTCACTTACATTTGAAATCTAAAACAATTGAACTCATAGAAGCAGAGATTAGAATGGAGTTTACAGAGGCTGTGGGGTGGAGAGAATGAGGAAATAATGGTCAAAGGGTACAAAGTCTCTTTTAAACAGGATAAATACGTTTTTTTCTTTGAGATCTACTGCACAGTGAGTGTCATTAATAGTGTATTGTACATTTCAAAATTGCCAAGAACAGCAAATTTCAAATGTTCTCACCACAAAAAATAAATATTTGAGATGACACATATGTTAATCATCTTAATTTAATTATTCCACATTGTATTCATAAATCATAATATCACTTTGTACCCCATAATATGTACAATTATAAATAGTCAACTTACAGTAAAATTTTTTAAAACATTAAAATAATGGGGCAAAATATGTGGATGATCAGAGAAAGGACCTGGGCATTACTTTAAATACTTAGTGTATTTACTAAGAAAATCCAAGGAAATGCAGAAATGTAATTTGGGAAAATCAAATTAATTCACTTGGTAAAATATTGTCATTAAATCTATAAAAACCTGTTTTATCTTAAGGACTACAGAGTGTAAAATCAATGTCATGTCCTTTATGAATTAACAAAAAAATCACATAGTGAGGCAAACATGTTATGTGAGTCTCAATAAAAGTATTACAGCTAAACTCCAGTGTAGAAACTATATAAAAGAGAAGTATTTGGTACTGAAAGTCAGAAAATTATAAAGAAAAGCTTAACGAAAAACTGAATTTCTCTTGCCTGTAAAAGCTTTGTCTGGAATATTAATTGCTGTTGGAAGAATTCTAATAAGGGCAATGCCTTTGTTTAGTTAATTTCCAGATCATGGGTTTTAGTACAGTGCTTTAAACGTAGTATGTGCTTTATAAGTAGGTCTAGTAAATAATTTTCCCTTCATATTTGTACATCTTGAAGAATAAAAGGGAGTAGTATTAAAAATTATGATAGCACAACAAGAAGAATGGGATGAACAGTACCCCTTTCTGTAACTATCTGCTGGAGACAGAAATGAAGTATTTCAGCTGACAGGTGAATTGATTAGGCTTGCGTATGAACAGATATGCCGATTATCGTGGAGAAGTAGAGGAGAGAAGATGATGAAAGTCAGCAGAAAAAAATCTGAACTATAATAATCTATTTGCTTAAAGAATATGTATTTATATTTGTCTTTGTGTAAAAATCTGAAAATGTCTACAAAGCCCACAGTGAGTGGACATGGATGGACTTTCTGAAGACAAAGGAGGCTGGCTCCTCACTCCAGAAAGAGCCACCACACCCTGGCTACACAGCAACACACACACACACACACACACACACACACACACACACACACACACAATCACAAAGGCATATGCACTGATCCAGTAAAATTTCCCTCAGGTCACTCTCAAATTTTCCTTAGTATTTGTCAAATGCGTTGAGGTTGCACTTCTAAAGAGTCCTTCCCGTTTGGTCTCAGGGTAGAAAACTAGAACCAGCCTATTTAGGAAACTTAAAAGGTATCACACTAAAGACTCTGTCAAGATATCTGGTTTGTGACAAAATAAAAATTTAACGAAAAAAAAAAAAAAGATATCTGGTTTGTGACAAAATAAAAATTTAACGAAAAAAAAAAAAAAGATATCTGGTTTGTTTTCCTCTGCTTCCTTCTCTTAATAGTTCATTACATATGAATAACATTCCCAATGAGATCCATTTTGGAAATAAATTTATTTATGCTGTGTAAAAAATATAAGGCAATCTTGATTTGACTGTCACAAATTGTCCGCAGGTATTGATATTCAACCCTGTATGCCACAAATAAGTATAAGCAATTGTTTCAACAAAAAAAATTAAAAATAAAAATATAAGGCAAATGTTAAAAAAGTGTATACATTCCTAAATAGTATTTCGTAAAGTAATCCATACTTTTAGTGTGAAGGCTGATAAAATAAATGTTTTTCTTTTAATAATAGTAATAATAAAGAACTAAAAGGAAATTATAGTGATGGCAGGAAGGTGTTCTTGGAATAAAGCATGGTTGGTTAAATAAAATTAACAGACATTTGAAGATGCACTGTAATTCTAAAAACAGTGCTTACTAAGACCTTTGATCAAAGAGAAGCAGGAGGAGCTAGTGAATATTTCATAATTAAATCAGAAGAGTGGAAGAAAGTTTTAACTGCAAGAGATACAAAAAGGAAAAGCTAAAGAGTGTAAAATTCAAGAGGTCCAGGCTCACTCAGAAAAGTACATCATCTAATTGCACAAGTCATGTTTCAGATGAGTCAAATATGTGAAACATAACAGTTGTTTATTTTAGATATCAATAGAAGAGACTATTTTCCTTGTCATTGTTTTTATTGTCTTAAGTAGAAGAACATATTAATGTATTATTGCTTTTGATCATTAGGTAATAAGAGACCCAAAGGTTGAGTGAAACATGAACTTGAGAAATGGGCAATCTCACCCCTACATTTCACCTCCTGAGGGGAACTTCCTTCAATCGCAGGTGGTGGGTGAACATGGACATTAAGGAGAAGTGGAAGTCTTGGTATTTTCTTTGCAAACTTAGGTTTGTTTCTCCAAATTTATTTGGAGATTTTCTCACACTTTACCCTCCTTAACTAATAGTCGTTTCTGCTTTTCTCCCTCTTCTTACTCTTTGCTTCCCTTCTATCTCTCCCTTTGCTCTCAAATTCCAGGTGATTTTAAATAAACATATTTCCATTTGTATTAGAAGCCAAAGTTATTTGTTACTGTTTCTTTTCATTTAAGTTTACTCTCTACTATTTTGAAAAATACAATGCCATAATATCACTTTGAACTTCATCTCTGTGTTATGTGGTTCTCGATTTTAGGTAGTTCTTCTAGTTTTCAAGTGTATGGAATCCTACCTGGAAACAAATTGCAAAGGCCAGGATGAGTCCACTAAGGATTAAAGCCTTCATCTTGTCCTTTTAGCCCCTGTGTGTATAGAAACAAGAGATAAGATTTGTTAGGTACTTGACAATGAGAGAATGACCTCACCAAACAGCCCAGTGATACAAAATAAAAAATTTAGTGTCGGGCCGGCCCGGTGGCACACTGGAGAGTGCACCACCTGGGAGTGCGGCGGCGCTCCCGCCGAGGGTTTGGATCCCATGTGGAGACCAGTTCCCGCTCACTGGTTGAGCACGGTGCGGGCGCAACACCGAGGGTTGCGATCCCGTTGCCAGTCCCCAGTGTGGGTGCGACACCAAGGGTTGCGATCCCGTTACCTGTCAGTAAAAAAGACAAAAAGGAAAAAAAAAATATTTGTGTCTGTCAGATACGTTCTGTCCTGGGAACGGGACTTGATAAAAACCAGTAATACATTTACTATCCAATGTGTCTGCATCCTTATCTACTAATAGACAAGCAAAAGGATAATTGAGTTGATCACAGTTTCTTCTCATTAAATATAAATATTAATGAGACACTACTTACTATAGGGGTTCAGAATCCCATCTTCCAAGGTGGCCCCAGATGTCCAGAGTTTGACTGGACTTTTTCTTCAAAGTTGACTCACTACCAACCTCAGATAAAATCCTTGATTCATTCTTGATTTGAAAGTAAGATATTGCCAAAAAGATTAATTAAACTTAAATTATTTTCCTAAAGTTAAAATGTGGATGTGAAATTAAAATACACAGAAAATTTTTTTGAAGCTATCATCATTCTTTGCAATTACTAAAAAGTTAGGTTTTTCCATTTAGTTTGTTAAGATTAAGATTAAGGTTTTAATTTAAATTCTCATCTGAAAGAAGAGTTGCATCTTTGATCAGGAATTATACATAACTAAGAAGCTCCTCACCTACCCATCACCCACTCACTGCACACACACCAATACACAAACTCGCACAATTTAGGAAACTGCAGTGGTTGTGGTATAAAGAGAGCTCTAGGAAGGTACATGCTATGCTGTTAAGTTCAGGGGTCGACCTTATGGAACTCAGCTCCTGTATGTATGATGTGTGACATGGTGCACTAGGTATTATTATGTTGCAAGGACAGGTTCCATGAAATTCTGAGATTCTACAATGTTATTTGACTTTTCCTCTCCTCTTGCCTCTGGTTTACATTTTTTAGTCTACAAGGTCTTGTACATATTCTTCTGAAAATATTTTATAAAATATTATTATGTACTTCGCTTGTTGATAACTCATTGTTGAATAATGTACACATCACAATTATAGATACTGAATGAGCAATCTATTTATGACCTGTGCTAGTCTAATTTTGAATATCATGGTGTTGATCTTCCTAATAAAAGACAGTTTTTTGAGTGGAAAGTGCACAATGTTTCCATGGTGCCAGATTATTGGGATGAGTATGCAAAACAAAGGATTTCTGTTACCAGGATTTTGTGAAAGGAAAATGGAAAATACAGGCAGCCTGTACGTATTTTAGGAATAACCTTAGGGAAGCTTCATATAAATGAATTTCACAAGGTTTCTAGCAGTGTGTGGCTTGTGAGAATGATGCTGGGACCCTCAGCTTTACTGGCTTTGTTGCCTACAGATAAACTTTTAGGATTATCATTAGAAAACCTCTGAAACCAGTTGGTGTTTCGATCTGAGTCTATACTCAGTCAGTTCACATCACAGTCTTTCCCCAGAAAACGGTGTTTTCCAGTATCCCCCATTTCAGTGGATCACTCATTTTTCACCCAGTAGTGTAATCTGGAATCTTGAGTCAGCCTGGACTCCCCTTTCATCCTCCCATGTCCATCAGCCACCAAATCTCTCTGTATTTTACCTCCCAGATGGTGTTTTGAATCAGTTCTGTTCTGTTCCTCTTCACTAGCAGCATTCTATCCAAGTCAGCACTGTATCTCCCTTGGGCTATTTCTTCACTCAGCAAATACTCATCGATGACTTAATCTGTTATGCTCTAGGCACTCTTCTAGGGGATGGGAATATGAAGGAGAACAGTGCAATGCTCCTGACCTATTGACTTTTTCATTCTCACAATCACCAAAGTAGTCTCTTAACTGATCCACAGCCCTGATTTCAATCAACACTACAGTCATTATGATTTTTATAAAATAAAATTCTGATTATTATTCTAGTTCCCTGGTTGACACCTTTCACTGGTTTCCCAAAAAAGACTTCAGGTGGCTTACAAGGCACTTTCACTTTGCAACCCCACCTCTTACTGTTCTTCAGTCACATCTCTCTTAGTCTCACCCACATTGTGTGTGTGTGTGTGTGTGATACTGTTTTCTTCTTCAAAGGTCTTTACACATCAGTATTTCACACGACCACTGAAATAAGGCTTTATATCCCACCTGCATATTGGAAAACAATTCCAGTGAAGTTAGATAATGATGTGGTTGTTGTCAGAGACAATTCTAATTTTACAGAATGGAATTCTAAGTGTTTACAAGGAGTTCTCCCTTCTTCTCTTGGCTTCTGTGAAACTACCTTATCCCAGCATTCTTCATATTCTCTGAAATTCTTTCTTTGGTTCCTCAATGGATTTTTTTTCCTTTCCCACCTACATTAGGGTCCTGGCATCAGTTCTATTTTCCCTCATTTATAGCAATGACTCTTTATGAGCTTCTACATCCACTTGGAAACAGCATTTAAGTTTATTAATCAAGACTGGTATATCCAACTGTTTTGGGGACAGTTGTACCATTAACCAATGACTCTTAACCAAGCCTGTATAAAATTGAATTCATTAGTGCACCTTCTTCTTGATTAAGAAATCAGACATAAATAGAGGAAAGAAAATTCTGGAGTAAGGATTCCCTGGAAGAGTTGGCACTATTTATGCAATTACCTTGAGAGGGGTGCCTCCTTTGGATTTTGGTGAGGACTTTCTTCTTCTTGACCCAGCCAGTGCCTCTAAAACTTGATACATGCAGATATAAAGAAAATTAATTTAATGATTCTTCTATCTAATAAGGCATCCCTTCCTTCCTTATGCCCCTCCTACTTTTCCCTTATTGGTTCTGGCAGGAAGTAGGGGATAGAAAAAAAAATTGCTTACATGAATTATGTTAGTTTAATCCTGAAGCATTTACCCTTTGGATTTTCTCTCCCAGGAACACTAAGAATGCTATCATCTTTTTCTTGGAAGGGGTTAGGATTAGATATGATAGTTAATTAAATTTATAAATTAACACTATGGCTTCTATGTTTATCACTTATTTAAAAAATGTGGTTCAGTTTCTACAGAATAATATGTTTTGTCAAATGTTTCAAAATTTTAGGAATTTGAACAACTTCATTTTTATGGTTTGCTTCAGTATTCTAAAATTTAATAGAATCAAAAAGATCAATGTCTGAATTAATTTAATAGGAAGATATAAATAATCTTTTCTCCATTGGGCTAAATACATTTAAGCTCAAAAGTGCCCGTGTTAGGGAAATTTATGAAATATGTCTATCCCATTGCACCCAGTTGCACCCCCTCACAATGCTTTGGACTTGGACTTCTTTAAATTTTGAAGAGTACACATTAAATTATACACTAATCTATCTTCTGAATACTTTTTCAATTGGTATAACTATGTGCATGAAAAAAGTAGATAGTTTTCATTTGGCATTATAGTTTTTATTCATTTGTACTGATGTATTTGCCATTTTCGCATATTCATCTATGTTAAACCACACATCAGAACAAATGGCATTTTCGCATATTCACCTATGTTAAACCACACATCAGAACAAATGGCAAATGTGCTGGTTCTGAACAAATATAGCTGTGAGAAATCACCAGTATACTTAAGAACAAAAAATGCAAGATCTTTTTGTAAAAGGCAGTACCAGAATAGTAAAAAGAGTGCTGAATTGGAATCCGAAGGCCTAGGTTTAACTCCTAGCTCTGTCATTTTGTTACTGTGTGACCTTGGTAAACTTATCTGTAAAGGTCATTTTTCTCATCTATAAAATGAGAATTCTCCCTGTATTATTTACCTGAATGAGTTGATGTCAAATTAAATTAGAATAGTCATGGAAACACTTTGTAAAGTCTATAGAACTAGGTAAAATTGTTTAAAATTTAACTTATTTTGCATTCAATTTTCCTAATAACTCAGTATTTGTAGACATATTTTATATGACTTTTAATCTCATCATTACTGGACTTGGAATGACAACTTGGTTTATTTATTCACTCAACAGATACTTACTGAATACCCCACTCTGGCAGGCACTGTGGATTTCACAGGAAACAAGACATGCCCTGGCTTCAAAGACAGTTTCTACCTTCAAAGGATAATGATTTATTGGAAAGAGGTATAACCCAAACAGAAAAAAATGGCTTTGATCAGTTGATCTTTGATTAACAGAGCAAGTATGCTTTTACTCAGCCATTTCTCTTTGGACAAACTTTCTCCATCAACCTTTCCTTTCAGGAACTTCATGAAGATTAGAAGTTGGGGTTTGGCTGCACTTGAATCACTGGGTGCCTGCATGATAATCAATATCATAATAAGGGCTGTGCAACAACAATATGCAATGTTGTCTTTTCTAAGAATTGAGGTAATCCATTTAAGTTTAACCAAATTATATATACTAATGACTGTTACACTGATTTGACTCATAATGAGGTTTGCCTACTTTCTCTCTTACACTAATCATACACTCTCCTTTATGAAGTCAATATTTTTTAAGGAGTTAGAATTTATGGTTTTCATTTTGATTGAATTTTGGAATATAGTAGAAAGTATATCAGAAGCTAAAGACTTTGGTTTGCATATTCCCCAAATTTGAGTTTATATTTAAATTTGGAAGGAAGATCCTTTGTGGACTTTTTGTCATATAACATCATAAGCTTCATGATTGTATAAAAAGTATTCATGCCTTCTCCAATGTAAACTCAAGCATATTCAGGAAGTTTTGGGAAAGTAGGCCAAGCTTCTTGTGATCATCAATAAAATGCATTATACGGTTATTAATGTTATTTATGTGGATGAAAG